AGTTTGTTTATAGGAGCAAAGGAAGCAAAGTTTCCTTACTTTAGCAAAGGAAAACCAGTCTCCTCTTGGCTTATATCGAAATCCTCCAACATTTTTCTTTGCAAATCTTCGGTTTGTACTTCTAATTTGTGACCGGCATTTTGTTTTGTTGTCTCTCCGCGTTCATCACTAATCACACAACGCTGACGTGCTACGACATCCGCCGGCACAGCTTCCGCCTATGACAGTTGGAGGAAGTGATATAAAAGTGTTTATTACGTTTGAAATATGGATATTTTTCTTACAAAAACGCATAGATTCACTACAGAAGGCTACATTCACCCCCCGGAGCCGTGTGAAGCACGTTTTATTATGAATGCGCAAGCTTTATTTGACGACTTGTGGACTGTTCAACTACAACAGCCGCTGACTGCAATGATAGAGCTTGGAATAGCCAGGACAATTTTTAATATAACTCCGACTGGATTTGTCTGAAAGAAGAAAGTCTTACACACCTAGGATGCTTCGAGGGTGAGTAAAACACAAGCCAATTTAAATTTTTGGGTGAACTAACCTTTTAAAGACTCCGTTATGATTGACTTAACCTATTCGCATGTCAAATGAGTAGTAATACTACATACAGTTGCAGTTTAATGAATGTATTTTAATTCTGGTACAGGACTTCTAAAAGTTACAGTATGTTTAATAGCACATCATACTGTTATGTACACTACCATTCAAAAGTTTTGGGTCGGTAAGATTTTTAAAATGTTTTTGAAGGTCTCTTATGCCCACAACAGCTGCATTTTTAGATCAAAAACACAGTAAAATAATAATATTGTGATATATATATTATAATTTAAAATAACCATTTTCGATTTTAATATATTTAAAAATTTAATTTATTCATGTCATGCAAAGCTGAATTTTCAGCAGCCATTACTTTAGTCTTCAGTGTCACACGATCCTTTAGAAATCATTCTAATATGTTGATTTGGTGCTCAAAAACCTTTATGTTGTGCATAATATGTATTATTTGATGAATAGAAAATTGAAAAGCACAGCATTTATTTGAAATAGAAATATTTTGTATATAATATTTTATTTCATATTTGATCATTTTAATGTGTCCTTGCTTAATAAAAGTATTAATTTATTTAAAAAAAAATCTGAAATCTGCCCCCAAAATTGTGAACTGTAATATATAATAATTATTAATTAAAAGTGACCATAGATGTTTTCTCTGTGGTTTGTGATTAAGGAAAAGTTTTTACCTTTCAGGGATGTATTCACGAAATATATGTAACTGAGCAGAAATTATAAATATCATTATTATAAGTATTTTCCATGGTTTTTGGCAGATGAAGGATCCATCACCACAGCTGCCTTTAGACTCAGAAGAACACATGCTGCAGCTGATGTCTGAGGCTGACCAGAAACTGATGCTGCTAAAGGAGGAACTACAGGGCAAAGATCTGGCAACCTTCGTGAAGGAGTTGGAGGAAGAAGAGGTGAGGAACACTGATTAGTCATGTTGGTGTAATTATATTTTGGCTTGTTGAAGATGTGTCACTGATGAAACATAATTATTATGTTACTTTAACTGTTTTGTTTACTGTAGGAATATGTGGCATATTTTATTTTTTGCAATCTATAAAATAACCTTTACTAATATTTTACTGTTGTTTTTTTATGCTCCCCTGCAGTTCCATGCCAGAATAGCAGGGAAACTACCACAGTACAACACTCGCATTCAGCTACCTGAGACCCAGAAACAGGACTTTTTTGATGGTGAGACACTACCTCATATTTCCATGGCATCCCATTTCAGCCACATAAGAAAAAAAATCATGATTTGGTAAATCATAATGACAAAAAGTCAAATATGACATAAAAAGTCGAAATTATGAAATACTAAGTAATAATTATGAGATAAAAAAGACAAAAATAGATCATTAAAATTTGAAATTAAGAGATAAATTGTTGAAAACATTATATGTTGACTTTTGTCATAGATGACTTTATCTCATAATTTTAACGTTTCGTCATAGCTATGATTTTTATCTCATAATTTTGGCTTGTCATAATTTCTACTTTTTGACATATAACTTAACGCAATTTTTACTTTTTGTCATAATTTCAACTTTATGACTTTGTCATAATTGTGATTTTTAATCTTGTAGTTTCAACTGATTTTTTAATCTCATAATTTTGTCTTTTTATGTAATTTTAAAAATAAGGATTTACCAAAGCATATGGAATGGATTTCAATACATATCTAATATTTCTGAATGAAAATCGTGATTTTTTTTTTTTGGGGGGGGTGGCATATTTCGATGTCGCAAATATCAGGATGATGTCTTGATATGATGTAAAAAAAAAAAAAAAACTCAATATAAGAAAAAAGAAAACCTTACTTAATGATATTTACTATTAATAATTATAACAATTTTGTATTTAAGATCACATGTATTCAAAGAGTAGGGAAAATATGTTAGTTTTTATTTGATGGTTACACCACATAAATGTAAACTTTTTGTTGAAAATTGTATAAAAGATTTTTAAAACCATATGAAACCAACATGGATACAAAGATTACATACCTCTACAAACTTAACATACTATTTGCGTTTTAAGCTTGTTTCAATCCTGTTTCTTTATCTTAGACGCTCTTATTTGCACCAGTGATCACTGGTTTGGAAAGAACTTGGAAAGTTCTTGAGCAGGCATGGCCATGCGTTTTTACTCTGGTTCACAGTTCAAAAGCTCCCTCTTATCAGGAAGATGTTCACCTGTGCTCTCTTGATCTAGTACTTTCTTCTGTCTGTACACTGTGTGGTACTTAGAAGCTCACCCTCCTGGTGCACACAGTGTTGGTGGATTTGTTAAGATGTTAGGAGTCAGATCACCTTCACGTGCGATTGTGTCTACTCTAAGCCCACCCAAATGACAGTCTTGCCCACCCAATCAGAATTAGAGTTGATCCATATGTATAAGAAACAATAACAGAACTGATAGGTTTAGCAGAGAAAGGTGACGCACATCTTACACACCTGCATGTCTTTTCTGTCAACAGATGAGGAGGACAGCGGCGTTGATGACGGTGATGTCACCAACCGTGTCACACTGAAGCACCAGTCACAGTCAATCATTGATGCAAACACCAGGAGGAAGACTCGCATCAAAAAGAGGAAAGGCCAACTCTGATCTGATCCAGTAAAAGGAAGAGAGACCAATTTTAAAACATCAGCTGTAGCAACACACTTCCTGGAAGCTTTATCTCCATTCGTCTGCACATTCATGCTTAAGAAAATAAATGAATTATTGAGCTAATGTAGTTTGATTTCAATAAATGTATTAAGCCGGGCATACACTGTGCGATTTTCGTCCGATTTTGAGCCGAATTGTGACTCGTGCGACTCTTTTTTGAGTCGGGTCGAATTTCAGCTTTGTCGTGCGTCTTTTGTCGTGCAGCGTACAGGGGGAAACGAGAAGCGATAAGTCTCTCCCGACTAAATTTTGGTCGCCCCTCGTAAAGGGTATTGCACAGCTGATAATAGCAATGGTAATAATTTAATACATTAATTGGAAATGACAAATCCTCTTGATATCACCTGATATGATGCTTTTTTTTGTTTTTTTTATATATCTCTGGCTATCGTCAATTTACACGGTGTTATCGTCTGCGCATTTTGAGTATTTCACACGTATAGTGTGAGCACATAAATCGTGCTCGACAATCGGACCATACAGTGTGTGAGTTGGTACCTTGATGAAATCGCACGGAAATCGCAGTGTATGCCCGGCCTAACGTGACACCTGTTGAAGATAACAGGTGCGTTCGACTTCATGCGGCGCTGCGCAGACTGATCGGCGGCTGACTTCAAGCCGTGCATGCCGGTTAGAAATTTTGTCCGACTTGAACCGCCGCCGACGTCACTATCACGTGTGGCATCAAAGTACCGCGATAGCGTTTCGAGAGCAGCCAACTGACTCAGCTGGCACAGCTTTTTCAGAGCGGCTGCAGGAGCTCTGATGATGACACATCTGTTTCACGATTGGCCAGATTCACCACATGACAACAATGATGTGTGTTTCTAACATCTTGTTTTAGATCAGTAAAAGCTTTTTTACTGTAGTCGCAATGTTATATTGAGTCACGTTTTCATAAAACACTGATAAAAGCATATTTACCCCCACTTTATTCGTATTTAAATTGTATATGATTATGTTGAACTTTATTCTTGAACAGATGGCGTTGTATTAAACAGTATATAAAAAGTGTTTCTGTTGCTCATGAAAACGTTTCTGAAACATCTGTGTATTTGACAAATATTGCATTTAATTCACTTCATCTGTGACAGAGTCAGGGCCGTCCTTTGGGCGGTGCAACTGGTGCGGTCGCACCGGGCCCCGCGCTTTGAGGGGGCCCCGCGGCGAACGGACCGAGGGGGAAAACCCACCAACCCCCACCCCCGGAACGCGATCGCTAATGGACCGAGGGGGGCCCCGCTCCCTAACTCGCACCGGGCCCCGCGTCAGCTAAGGACGGCCCTGGACAGAGTATGCAAACACTGCGCGAGCCTCACTATCGGGAGCAGAAAGTGTCCGACTTGACACTCCGTTTTCAACTCCGCCCCCGACTGCAAGCGGCTACTCTCGTTGACTGCCGTCTGTAGCTGTGCTTCAAGCCGAACACACCTAGAGAATCCATCTCAGCACAGAATTTGAAAAATGTCCTGTGGATCCCTCCATTGATACATGTACGCTGTCAGTGACATTTATAGTGTTACAAATGATTCAAATAATTGCTGTGCTTTTGAATGTTCTATTCATTAAAGAATCTTGGGAAAAATGTATGACAGTTTCCACAAAAACATTAAAAAGTACAAATGTTTTCATAATAAATGTTTCTTGAGCAGCAAATCAGCATAGAATGATTTCTGAAGGATCATGTGACACTGAAGACTGGAGTAATGATGCTGAAAATTCAACAGATATTCAGAAATAGGCTATATATTCAAATAGAATTGTAATAAAATTTTGAAATATTACTATTTTTATAAATGACTGAAAGAAGGAAGGAAAGCAGCCTTTGTGAGACTTCTTTCAAAAACATTTAAAAACAACTACAAACTTTTGAAAGGTAGTGTATAGTGTAAAGTTTTGAATAGAATAGTACAGCGGTGGCGAACTCCGGTCCTGGAGAGCCGCAGCCCTGCAGAGTTCAGCTCCAACCCTAATTAAAACTCACCTGCCTGTAGCTTTCTAGTAACCCTTCAGACCTTGATTAGCTTGTTCAGGTGTGTTTGATTAGGGTTGAAGCAAAACTCTGCAGGGCTGCGGCTCTCCAGGACTGACGTTTGCCACCCCTGGAATAGTACATAATTAAATAAAAAATCAAAACCAGCAGGAAAATGAAGACCTTGAGTTCACTGAAGGCATTTAAGCTCTTTATCAACAATTTGACATCAATCCTAAAGCATTGTACTTAACTCTTTATGCTCAAATGTTATGTTTTCATAACAAAATATTAAAATTTTCCTCCTTTTAAGACCAAATTCCTTATGAGAATTGCTTCATAACAACACATGATCACATACCTACTTTACGAATGGGATTCTTATCATTAATATTCTTGTAGCAAAGTTATGCAGAATGACATTTCCTTGTACAGGTTCACTGTCTATATCATTTACCCTTCCTGACCTTGTTATATAAGACTCTGAAGGCACTGAAGCAGATAATAGTGTAAACGGCTGAGCTGTACACCAGAGTGTGTGAGAGAGGGTGTGTGTGTTTCATAAGGCATAGCTGACATTAGCACTGAAACATGCACTTAAGAGATAATATAGTTATAATATATGGTCCTTTCTGTGCATGCCATGGTTTTATCATCCCCATTGTGTCTCTATTTCTGGCTTCTGTAATTATCAACATGAATGAATGAATCTTTGTTCACAATTGTAAATTACAGCTATTTATTAACAACTGAAATCACTGCTGAGAAAACAGTTTTATTTCTGATTTGTCTGTAAGTCAGTTGGTTTTCTGTTCTCTCTACCATAAATAAATCCGTAAGATTACATAAACAATATATCAAATGTTGCAGAGGAATCACAGGCTAGTTAGTGTAATGAAGTCATTTATAATTATCACATATTCATTAGTTTTGATAATCACACTTGTGCATGAACCTCACATCAATGTTGAAAAAACCAGCATATGCTGGTTAGGTATGTTTTGAAGCATGGCTGCTGGTTTGAGCTGGTCATGAGCTGGTTTAAGCTGGTCCTGAGCAGGAGCTAGTTTAGGACCTCATGACCAGCTCAAACCAGCAGCCATTCTTCAAAACTAACCAGCATGCTGATTTTTTTCAACAGGGATTAGAGACTCTTACACACAAAGGTGTCCGTGTGCCATTTATTTAAACAGAGCTTTTTGGTAAATGCCACATTCCACAAATATGGGATACTTTTGGTGGCCTCTTTAAAAAAGGCATTAAAGGAACTGTTGATAATTATCTAACATAAAACTGACTTAGCATGACAAGTAGCTTGTTTTATTTATTTATTTATTATTATTATTTACCTACAATTTTACAGCTACATTAATTTTGACATTCAATTCATGTTTGTTGCTAGAAAATTGTAAAATCACACAAACAGGCAATAGATATTAAAAGCCATTCCAACAAAGAAAGAAACACTCATGTATAAAAGTCAATAAGAAATATCTCAGAGCCATTACCATGGTTGTGATTCAGTATATGAATACATTGTTTTGTAACAGTCTGAATCATACACTTAATGAGCAACTCTGACATTTTCTCTGCTATTTCATAACATCTTACCTTTCCAGTCTGGCAACCGAGCGAGGTTCACGTACACGCACAACAACCGCAGGATTTTACTTCGTATGAGCGTCAAAGTTTTATCGTTTCTTTGCCGAATTTAAAAACAGAAGTGAGTTTTGCTATTAGGACGCGCTCCTGTGTTCGAAAATATGTTAAAAGGAGGAGGCGGTATGGATTGGAAATCTGAAAAAGGAGGCCTGTTTCTTTGTTTACCACGGTGAGATCTGCGTGTGTTTGAAATTGAACGCTATTTAATGTGTTTCAGGGTTTCTGCTATCACTCGGGCAAATATTTGATGGTCATAAGACAATGTTTTGTTAATTATTATTACGTGTCATTCAGAACAGTTAGAAAATCTTAAAGTTTTAATAGAAACACCCAAAGTCTATGTTGTGATATTAGTGCCCTTTGTAGAACACATGTGGTCACGTTCTCTTTTGGAGTAATCATCACCCATCTTTTACTTCTCTGTGTTTTTGGTATTTCATTTATTAAACGTTTTATATGCTTCACATTGTGCACTTTTACTAGTTTATTCACTGACAGACAAGAACAATGAGCTGTACTATTACTGCTAATTATGTACAACAAAAGAGCACTGGGTGGAATAAACTGAACTGACAGCCCATTAGTTTGTGTAACAATCAGATTATTGTGTGAGTTTGTGCGTGTTTGTCAGCATGGAGAGAATCAGATGGACGGACGAGAAATGCAGGGTTACTAGAGTTTAGATGACAGTCACTTCTGCTGAAGACATCAGACAGTGTTCAGTTTTCTGCATCAGATCATGAAGGATCATTCTGGAAGGTCATGGCATCCCCTCTCCTGGTTTTAGCAGAGTTCAAGCATGGATTTTTAGGAGCTGATCCACCACGAACAGACACTGGATAAGGAGCATCATCCACAGTGAGTAGCTCATTCTGTGTTTCACTGGAGTTAAAGGGTTAGTTCACCCAAAAATGAAAATTAGCCCATAAATTACTCACCCTCAAGTCATCCTTATATTAAAGGATGTTCTATTAAAAAGTGTCTGTTTAATGGCACTCAGCGGGTGTTGCAGTGCATCAGTCCAAAAGAAGTTAAATAAAAAGCGCCCATCCATAAAAAAA